GTTCCGTGGCGCCCCCGCGGCCCGAAGCCTGCCGTCGCCGCTCTCCCTTCCGCCGCCTGCACGCCGCGCCTGGGCTCCGGCCTGCCAGACACACCGTCTGAGCCACGGGTGCCGCGGGCGCTTAAACCAGTGACATCCTTGGTGTGAGCCTAGGGAAGCGATGGTGTTGCTTTGATTTTTAGCTTGCAAAAAAATTCTGGTCCGCGTTAATGAAAACCTAGTGATTCTTTCAGCTGAAACAACTGCTGGTGAGTTTTTATAGCTTCCAGTGCAGATATGTGAGTTACGCCTGGCTGTGTACGTTTTGAAGTAGTACATCTTAAGGTCATGGTCAGTTTTGTTTTGCGTAGCCTCAATGATAGAACGGTTTGGGCTGGAAGGGACCTTCAGAGATCATCGAGTCCTACCCTCCTGCCATGGGCTGGGACATTTTCACTAGACCAAGTTGCTCAAAGCCCCGTCCAGCCTGGCCTGGAACGCTTCCAGGGAGGGGGCACGCAGAACTTCTCTGGGCAACCTGTTCCAGTGTCTCATCACCCTCACAGTAAAGAATTCCTTTCCTATATCCAGTCTAAATCAGTGGCCTTGCTAAAGTTAGCTAAGCATATTCAGAAGTTCATGAGGAGAATATGACACCAGTTTTGTAGGTGATCCCCATCAAACGTATTAACTCCTCGAATGAGCACTTCTTACACAGTTTTGTTTAGTTGTGGGGCTCCTACGAGCCATTCCATGCCACTTGAATACTTTTTTCCCTAAGTGAAATAGCACGCTTTTGGAGTGTATACATCTGTGTGCTAACAAACTAGCTATCGATACATATTTTAACAGAGGAAGGTTGCATATTCAAAATCATTTAGCATTCCCAGAAAACATTCTTTAGATTTTTTTTTTTTTGTTCCTTCTATGTAACTTCAGAGTAATTTCAGGTAGTTTTGCAACTGGAGAATGATGTGGATGTGGCAGAGTACATTTTGATTATGTTTTGAGCCTTAAGATTTTTTTTTTTTCACTGCGGCTATTGGTTGTTGGGTAGAGTTAATGAATTCTATTCTTGAGGTGAAAAAACAGATTTGTGAGAAAGTCTTTTAGTTATACCTATTTTTTTGTGCTGTTCATTGTGAGATTTTGGTGCGGGTTGCAATAAAGCTTAGAAGGGCGGTATGAAAAACTAGTTTCTCAGTGTTCAGAGCAACATTGTAATGTGAAAATTGGGCACAGTTGAGAGAGGCATAGTTTCCCATATCCTGATATCACAATTTCCTTTTATCCAAGCAGTTGATCTTTGTTGAGTACAATACTACAAATACTCTGTCAGGATTGTTCTTCTGTCATATAAAATTGGAGTTTTTAGTTTGCAAGTTACTAATTATTTAATGGGTCTTAATGTGTGCCTAGCAATTGTATCATAGGCTTGTCTACACTTTCAGGTCTTCAACTGTTTTCTCAGTTGAGTTGGAAAGAAAGCTCTGTTGCTTTCTCTAGGAGTGTGGGTGACAGTTGTATGGTAGTTTTGTGTTTTGAGGCTTATGAACACAGGTACCAAAGTGAATTCTGATGGGTAGATCTTAAAAATCACAAATGATACATCTAGATATTTTCTATTAAGAAACTGAAGCAACCTGTTAACTTCGTTGTACTTTTCTTCCCATATTACTCCACTTGATATTGAAGATACTTTGCAATAACTGCATATTTTAATATAAAGCAGTATGATAACCCTGGGCAGCAGTTGTTATGCTTTTCTGTACAAAAAAAAAAAAAAAAAGGTTTTTAAAAAAAAAAAAAAAAAAAAGGTTTTAGAAATAATACATTTATTCTTGCTGCATGTTCTGTTAAAATTATAGTTTGAAGCAGAAATGCATTTTTTCTTCTTCGTATTTCTAGTGCAGATTATTGGCTACTGGAATGAACAAAATCAGTTTATAGTTAATATACTACACCAAGTACTTCTGTGTTCAGTCTGACAGAAGTAGATTGTGGCAAACATGTGGCTGCAAGCCAGAGATGGTAAAGATGGAATCCAGGCTAGTTCCTTGTTTTGGACTTTAGTATGGATGTTCATCTGCTGTGGAGTTCAAAAGCAAAGTTCATGGCTCATTAATCTTGACTGTTGAATACAGCTTATTCTTCATGTTACCTTGCTTTAATTAATGGAAAGAACCCATAAATGAGTTTGCTATTCAACTGGAAGTAAATCTTGCAGGTTTTTTGAGGTCTGTGTTATGTTATCTGTATTTCTTTCTTTTTATCAGTAAGACTAAATTAGTGAGTTTCTTCTAAAGGTAAGCTGATTTATAGTTCTATTTAATATTCCGCCTGTATACCCCTAAATATTGCTGATATATCTAATGCAATAAAAATACATTGAAATAGAAAATTCCAGGTTTATGAAACAGTTAGAAGCCTTACTATGTTAAAGGGTGCTATTAGACAGCAACCCTTGGATACTGACTTACTTAAAAAATCACAGTACATGTATTTCTCTCCCTTAGAATTATTTTGAAGAAAAATGGAGTTTGTGATCCTCTTAGGGGAATAGGGAATGTAGGGGAACAATCTATGCAAACATAACACCTTTTATTGATATCTTTCTGAAAACCCTGGCAGTGGATACTCTACAGAATATGGGGTTTTTTTTTGTCTACAGTATTCAGGCTTAAAGGACTAGCAGGGCAATTCTCTTTTTTGACTACAACTGATGTGAAATTACAGTTGGTGGTAGTTGTTCACATGACGTAGTAGTAACACTGTTCGGTAACTGTTCGTGAGTGTTAACAAATGATTCTTTTATTATGTTGCCAAATAAACTGAAGCATGTCTCTGTTACAGGTTTTAATGGTTTTGTGATATGGAAAAGAGTAACGTTTGATGCTTGCCAACTAAAAGTATATATGTTTGAAGATGACATTCGTTCTCCAGTGTTTATAGACTTAAAAAGCTACATATTGGACATCATGAGTTTGTCCTGTCCAGTCAGCTGCACTGTCACGGAAGCTAAATGGTGAGCTTCACGTCTGTATTTTTACATCTAGTAATATGGTTCATGTTTTTGTGGTTTATTTTCTAGATCCCTGAAATTATGTAATTCAGACTGAAGATTAATCAGATATGGTGTGGTACATTCAAGCTGTGCCATGTCAATATAGTCGCAAGATGAAAAGATGTTCTTGAAGGGGTGCATACTGGCCCTCTGATGTGCAAGAATTCTCACACGACCGTAGGAGATGTGACTTAGAGATAGAAGGAGTTCCTGTCTGCAGTTAGGAACACTGACCTGGTGTTACAGAATGGTTTTCTGCATTATCTGAGGTGGTAGAGGTCGGCTTTAAGCCTTGCACATAGCTGTTATTTTTTATAACCTGATATGTGTTTCATCTTTGGCACAAATAAAGTAAGCTTTAATTCATTCTGTTTATGTTAGCTGTGAGAGCTATTTGTCCCTAAAGCCTGATTATACAAAACTGCCAATTATATATAGGAACAGCAAATTGCCTGACTATGGACTTTGGTTAGGAAATCAGACTGCAGACTACTCCTTTAGCTGGGGAAGTTTAGCTAGATTCCACTGCTAGGTAATAAATGAAAGAAAATTTCTCTCTATTACAAAATTCTCTACACATTCTACTAGATGTGGAAGAAAAGCTAGTGAGAAACTGTTTTTCTGCAGTGTTCTATGTTCACTGTAACTAGCTGACTTGTGAAGTGAATGGGAATTTAAAGTTTGAGTTACAGAAAGTCATTCTGAAGTGTAGAACTCAAAAGCTATGTCACCTTCTTATATGCTTTCTTGAAGAATCTTGAAGTACTACTAAAAATGGTGTCTTAGATGAAAGGTGTAGTTGGTAAAATAGGTATTTTAGCTCAAACCAATAATCAATGAGCTATTAATATATGAAAATGGAAGTACAAGCATTCTTTGAATTCCTGTAAGACTGCAAATCATACGTGCTGTGAAACTTTCCAGGGATTTTGTGTGGTTGGTTGTCTTTGATTTAAGCTTCCAAGAGCTTTATGCTTGTAGCACTTCTACTTGTAATATGAATATGGAAGCAAGAATCTCCTACAATAGGTAGTATGAAGCTTTCATAAAGCTGGTGGCTCTGTGATGATTAAAGAAAATATCACAGAAATAAAAATTCTTAAGGCTAATCTCTATTTTATTTGAAAATGTTTTAAATAGACAAATAAAATAATGAGAGGGTTTACATAGTAATATTCCCTTGGGGGTGTTGTCTTGTATGTTTGTTTGTTTTTAAAAAAGTAGCTGATTCAATTTGATTCTAAACTAAGAACAAAACTAGTGTTTTCTGCTTTATATTTTTAATTTTTCGGTAGTGGCATTGTGAGCTTAGAAGCTGTGCAGAAAATACTATTTTAAAAAGGCGTTTAATGCTTTTTTCCCCAGTAGTTACTGTTGTGCTGTTGTGTCTTAATGTTCTTTTTCATTTCTGTAACGTCCCTAACTTGGTATCACTTGTGATGTTTTGTAACTTGTTTGTGTTTTGATCCCCTCTCCCCATACTCCCCCCTCCCCTGCCCCAGTCCAGTTAAGCAGAACAGTTAATCACAGTTAAATTTTCCACTGAGTAAGTTTTATTGTGTAGATATCTCCATTGTGATCTTTTTTTTTTTTTTTTTTCCTGGATAATTAATAGAGGAGTTGGAAGGAACAGTTTTCTTGAAAGCTGGTTGCCATACAAACCAATGTCATGTACTTAAAGATATAAAGGTGTTTTTTAATTGACTTAAAAAGTACTCATTCCTTTGCTTGCATTCAGTGTGCTCTCCATGCAAGAAGTATTAAATATCACCAGGTTTAAAGAAGAAAAACGACCTCCCTGCTGCCTGCAAACTAACAAAATGGTTACCCTTTCCATAACCCTTGTTTCTTTGCCCTAGTCCTCCCCAGTTTTCAGTTTGAGTTCTGTTTTCCTCCTTAACCCATGCTTTGCTACCTTTGGTGCTATCTGGCCTTTAGCTATCTTTAGTTGAGATCAATACTTCTTGCATCATCTCTGAATAAGATTAGTTGCCTGCCTTTCATCTCTGTTTTCCCCAGCCACAGAAAAATAAAGGTCTCCCAAACCTATTATGTGATGTCTACAAACAAGCTTTTATACAGTTTACAGGTGCTCTGGCTGTTCAGATCCTTCTTATTTCCTGCTTGACTTACCACCATATCTTCTTATTGCAGTAGCTAAGCGTCGTTTAAAATAATGATATGTGATTTTACTTACCTTGTTGCTGGTCTTTTGCCCTTTGAGTCCTGTTGGTTCCTTTGGGTATGACTCCCATAGTAAACAGTGAAACCTAATAATATGCTTGTGGTTTTCTTGCAGTATATGGCACCCTGTGGAACAATTACTGATGACACACAATTATTCTGATCTCACAGATGAAGTCCATCTTGTTTTTAAATGGAACTGCTCTTAGAATTTATTAAATTATAAAATATTTATAGGCTGCAGCTAAAAAACTGAAATTTCATCCTTTGTTATTAGTAATGTCTTTAAAGGCAACACATACTCTAAATTACTGTTCCCCTTGTTCATGACATTTGTGTCTTTTTGCTAGTCAACTTATGTGAGAAAACATGTATCATCAGGTAGAGGTCTCGGTTGTGGAAAATGTTGATGGTGCCTGTGCACAAACCTAGGGGTAAAGTGGTCATTTTGTATTTAGAAAAGACAAAGAATTAAATCTTGGTAGACTGTTATTTCTTTAATTAATACTTAAGACTTCATGTAGACAAAGGTAAGCTATTTTAGTATTTTCGGTTCTGTATGAAATGATGCCGACTGTGGTTAATTTAATCATGTTTCTCTTTACAGTGTATTTCATATTTAGTGATCCTGACAACTTGTGCTTTTGTGTGGAGCAACTAATTATTGCAGCCAGTCTTACATATATAAAATAGTGTGAAAACTGACATATATAAAATAATGTGAAAACTGATTTTTAACTCCTGACGTAATTTAAAAGTTATCCAGTTTGAAGTTACAATAATTGCACGTAAGACTATCAAGATAGTTTCTTTTAATTGAATATGTATTTTTATACTTATTTTTCACTCTACATATAAAAGTGTGTTTTGGTGATTTTAATATTGCTTGTGGTGCTCAAGGGCTGATCCTGTTAACTGCCAAGTAGATTTTCTTTTAACTGAAATAGTAGTGGACACGAAGATACTGGGTATTTTAGAGGACTAGACCTTTAATTTGTATGTGTTTGTGATCAATTGTGTGTGTGTGGTTTAAATGTATATATCTTTGAAGAAAAAATGTGGAAAAGTGATTTCTGTTCCACATATGTGCATTTGTTTCATGACAGAGGTGGTTTTGAGATGGTAATTCATGTTAAAAAATGTCTCCTTAGTGCAGGAGACAGACAAAAAGTTGCTAGTAATTTTAATGTAAGTGGTTGGAATGATGTTTTTTAAGCATCCTGAAAGTTTATTGAATGAATAATAAAGGTAATGAAAAAAAAAAAACCAAAAAGCATGTTATGCTTAAATCAACTCGGGGAAATCTAAAGTGCATATCTGTTTTAAGTTCCTGCTGCTATATCTCTCATCTCTTCCACAATAAGCAATTGTGTACAACCCTTTTTTCAGAGAGCAATAGTATGACAACAACTGTGTGGCATAAGTTTAATTAAGTAAATGTTTAGAACTTTGGGCTCACAATCTGATCATTGAAATAAGGGAGCATTAAAACATAAAAGGAATACTCTTGTTTTTTGAAAACATTCATATTTTGCAGCTTACGTAATGCCAAGAGTGAGTCACAGTTACTACAAAATAGTAATGAATCAGAATTGGACACGGCTGAAGACCTGAGAAGGAAACTCTGTCAAGCTAAGAAAGAAAAATTAGAGTTAACCATTAAACACAATCAAGAAGTAAGGACTTTTTTGTTTGCTTTATTTTACTCTTGGAATAAAAGTAATCTTATTTCATTAAAATAATTCTGTCACGTGGTGTATCAAAAGCACAGTCAGCTGAAAAATAGCAAGGAAGGTGAAGCTGTGCAGACCTCTCGTACCTGTTCATAGGAACTCTCAGCACCTCTGCTGGCATTGTTAGTAGTTGAAGTTGCACCAAGCAGAGTGCAAATTTTCTGCAGGGAAAGGAGTCACTGCCATTACCAGTAGTTCATTAGATAAAATTGCCTGGTGACACAAATAAATAAAAGCCACAGCTTGAATCTAGCCTCATAAAAAGATCTTATTTAGTTCTTATTTATATTTTTTTGCAAGGTATTAGAGTATCATTTTAATTCTGCAGAAATCATTTGCAACTCATAAACCTAGTACAGTATTTTTCTGTGTGTGTACACCAAATCCAGCTAGAATATCCTTTAGCAGTCTTGCAGTGTCTCAGCTTGTGCAAATTTAGTTTTCAATAACTGTAACAGTGAATAATGTAGATGTGTGGTGATGTGTTCGTCAATAACTTCATACTTGTTAAGGAGAACTTTGTTTGTAGGGGAAATAATTTACCCGCATTACAAAGGTTTTCCCCGATGCTGTTGTAGCAAACTAGTATTGAAATTAAGTAGTAGTAGTAAGAAAATACTTAATCTTTTCAGCTTGAATATCAGCTTTCGCACTAGTGTACATAAGGAAAAGTGGGCACTGAGTACAGCAGTAGTTGTAATTGGCTTCGGATTTGTTGCTGTTGTCCTGGTTTAAACTGTGCTGGTGCAGAAGTATTATTAGTACTATGGGTAACAATTCTGCTCTTAGCAGTTTCCTAGGAGCACTCGATGTGGGTGCTCGTTCATCTGTTTTGGGTAAATCCAGCCAAGAAAACCAAGTTTGCTGTTCCATATCGATTTATTATTGGGGTGTGTACCCAAATTAAGTGATTCCTGCTCCTCCTACAAGGACTTGCTCTTGTGCTGCAGTTAATTCATTATTTTCCCATTGCTTCATCAACTGTGGGTTGTTCTATTAAATAGATTACTAGAATTATCTGGATTAAAAAAACCCAAACAAACCACCTCATATATTGAGAATTTGAAAGCTGGGTGTGCACAAGGATCTTCTGCACCATTTTGCTGTTGTGGTTTGCACCACAAAGTCAGGCTGCATTTTAAGTAGATAAACTACTTGAGGCTGTTTTTTTTTCCCTATCCATTCACTGTATAGTTAGAGGTAGAGGAAGTGCTCAAGTTACGTACACACAATATTATTGAAGTGAAGGGGCTACTTAGTAGATGTTCTGAAGAAATATATGTTTTACTTTCCACCTTCTTGTGTTAAAATAGCTTGAACTTGATTTTCTGGACCCTGTTTTTGGCAGCAATGACTAGACTATGTTTCTTAATCTGGATAATAATACCACTTTTTGAAGCATTTTCCATTCTTAGTTTGTTGTCTGTTAAATTTGATAGTGTTCTGTTTGACTGCTGAACATTACTGGACTGAATTTTATGCTCATATGTATACTTGTGAGTTATTAGGTGTCTGATAGTCTAGCATCCCAACATGACTGTTTTTCTAAGTGTTAAATTTAAAGAAAGTTACCAGAAAATTGCCTATGGAATAAAATCTTTCTGTTGCTGCAGTTTTTCCTTTGAGGTGCAGGAAGACGACAGTGTTATGACTTTTATTTTTTTAAGGTAGTGTATTTCTGGAAAAAGGGAGGGCTATGTTTAAGGTACATGAAATTCATCTAGGAATAGGAACAGTTTGCATAAAAAACAGTAAAAGTACTTAAAATCTGCAGAAATAATGCATTTGCAAGACTGTATTTCAAATTCAAGTGGAATAAGAAGGCAGCTGTAAATGCAATTCAAAATATCTTTTAAAAATATTCTGTAGGTGTTTTTCTGTAACATATTGCATTTTTTCAAAGGACCATTGTTACCAGTTTTCTGAAACAAATCTTATTTTCTAGTTGTGTAGCTATGAAAGCCAGATAGTAAAATTACGGTCGGAAATCGAGAAAGGAGAGGCTGTTCGACAAAGTCTGGAGTATGAATTGGCAATTGCCAGAAGAGAGGCTCCCCCGAAAATGTATGCTGCAGAAGAGGAGTTAAGTGATGCAAAAAACAAACTTGTGGAACTGCAAGGTAAGTTTCAAAAAAGCAAACATGGAACGAAGGCTAAGTCAGTTTCAAGTCAGGAAGACAAATGAGAAGCAGTGACTTAATTAAATTTTCTGGTTATTGCTGTTTTTCTTGGACCTCTTTTATCTTTCCTATCTCTCTTTCATCTGCTTTTTTAAACTCATAAGAGTTTACAGAACTTGCTGTCTCGTATGAATTAAAACTAACCTGCTAAACTTATCAACCCTTTCTCCTCTTGCCCCTTACCTCCTAGTGTTCCCTCTTTCACTGCTGTCCTTGTACAGAATTGTAATCATGGTGGCTGTCTCCACATCCTAGTTATCACTGTGTCCAACACTTCTTCCTTTTCCATTTCAGGGGAAAAAAACAGAATAGAAGTTGATTCCTATTCATTTGTCTGCACTATTTCCAACAACTTTTTTCCAGAAGTTCTCATCAGACTGCTTCTTTTCTTTCTCCTTTTCACATGTTTCAAGCTTTTCATTGCTCACGTCTGGTTTCTTTTCTTCTCATCATCCTTGTTTCTCTTTTTATAGGTAATGGAATGTCTGTGTTGTGACAGTAGTATGTGGAAGGGAAAGTTTTTACCTAGGCATTTTTTTCCTATTAGTTTTGTATTCAGAAACTCAGATTTCCTTGTTCCTTCTCAACAGAGAGAGAGATACTGGTGAGGCTGCACCTCGAGTACTGTGTTCAGTTTTGGGCCCCTCACTACAAGAAGGACATCGAGGTGCCGGAGCGTGTCCAGAGGAGGGCAACGAAGTTGGTGAAGGGTCTGGAGCACAAGTCTTATGAGGAGCAGCTGAGGGAACTGGGGTTGTTTAGTCTGGAGAAGAGGAGGCTGAGTGATAGAACAAGAGGAAACGGCCTCAAGCTGCGCCAGGGGAGGTTTAGGTTAGATATTAGCAAAAATTTCTTCACCGAAAGGGTTGTCAAGCATTGGAACAGGCTGCCCAGGGAAGTGGTTGAGTCTCCATCCCTGGAGGGATTTAAAGAACGGATAGATACGGTGCTCGAGGACATGGTATAGATGGACTTGGCAGTGATAGGTTAACGGTTGGACTCGCTGATCTTAAGGGTCTTTTCCAACCTTAATGATTCTATGATTCTATATTTCTCATTCTTACAAGTAAGTGAGGTGCATTTTCACTTACCTAGGTAAGTATAATACCTTTAATCTAGTACAGGAGATACATTTGTGAGTTTGCTGAACCTTTGGTGTTCCTTGAGGAGTTTAGAGCACTCCTCATGGAGATTTTATCCTCCTAAGAATGGAAGGAGACTTGGAAACTTGCAAGTGCTTGAAGTACCAGGTGTTTTTAAGATAATAAGAAAGCTGGACTTTTCACTCCTTTGGAGAACACAAAACCAAAAAATCTTACAAATTGCAAACTGGATGAAGGCATTTTTTTCCCTTTCGAAATTCCCCTACAATTGCAAACTGAAGACTTGAACCCCTAGTTTCTCATTTAGAGGAAAGCTGTGTTTCTTTCTGTGCATGCTCATTTTACTGCTAGTTTGCTTGCCAGTTTAGAAGTGAGTAGTGTGTGTGTATTTTAAAATACTTGAAATCTTATTTTGTGATTCAGTTTATGATTTAGAAAACTGATTGGCTGCTGTATCAGGCACAGCTGGCAGGTGGTGGGTGCATGTCTGCTGGGCAACCTGTGTGGGAGGAAGGAGGTCTGGGTCTGCCTGGAGCTCGTCCCGGAAGAAGAGGAGGAGAAAAAAAGAAACAGCGGGAGACATAGGAGCAGAGCAGCAGCCTGAGCAGGGGCTGGGGCCAAAGTAGTGACCACCCATGCAGGCGCCATGAGGCAGGACTCAAAAGGGACTGTTCCTGATGGAGGAACCACAGCACAGTGACCCCAGCCTGCTGTGCTGCCTGTTACCTCCCTGAAGGGACTGGGCTAACGTGTGGTGAGGGGACTGGAAAACAGAAAGGGGGTAGGAAAGGTTTTGCAGAGGCAAGGGATCTTTTCCTAAATTTGTGTGTGTGTGTTAGTTTCTTTCAATACCAGAATCAGTAATTACAAGTCTATTAATTGACAGTAAATTACATTGGTTGAAATCCCTCAAACTGTTTTTTTTATTTCTGTGACAGGTGCCAAAGAATTCAAATCACAATGGTGTTGCTTCTCAATTCTTTTGCATTTTATAACTCACCACTTGTTTTCCCTGGTCATTTGGAGCCTTCCTCACCTCATTTGGTGCTTTGATGTGACCCCGACTCAGCTCCTTGGACAGAAGGCCTCATTTGTGGCTTTTCCTCCTCAGTATTTCCTCCAAATTGTTTTTCTGCTGTTCTCAGTGAGGCCTGACTTTCTGCCCTCTGGTAGTCCTTTCCCATCATTATGTCCACTGATTCTCTACGTCATCTTAATATGCCTCTTCTGTTCATTTTATCCTTCTCAAACTAGGAGTAATTTCAGAAAACTGGAATGAATTTGAAATAAAAATCTGTTAGAAAGTGGTGATCACTTAAATGCCAATGTAGCTAGTTGTATTCAGCAAAATGAAAAGCTGATACAAAGTACTTTCATCTGAAAGCCAGTTTGTAAAATAAAGCAAAGTTCCTACTAAAACTGCTTAAATAAATAGGCATAGGTAATGAAGGTGTCTGCACCATTTAAGCTTTCGCAGAAGAGTATGTACAACATTCCCCTATCTCAGGGCATGTGCTGAGCTGAAGATTTAAATCTCTTGAGCACCAGTAAATTTCCTTGGAAAAGCTAAGCCTTTGCTCGCTAGCCCAACCTGCTTTAGGTTTTCCTATAGTCCCTTTCATGGGGCAGGTGCCTGTTTTTACTTTCACGTAAACTGAGCTCAAAATTAATTGATACAGAATAATATCTATATCAAATAGACATTTGGAAATAAGCTGGTCAAATGTTGTAGAAATCTGAAATTAAGTCCTCCATGCTATAGAGACCTCATTTGAAAGAGTTATCTCAAGTTTTTATTCTTTTTCAAGAGGAGAAGAGTTTTGGTTTATAAAAATCTCTAAAGCGTTCCTATGTCGTTGTGTGAAAGATGCTATAGGAATGCAAAATTTGATTGTTTCTTTGTAGTGAAGGTGGTGCTCTCCAGTGCTGGAAGTGTTCATGTTCCAGTGTGTTCCACAGGATATCACAATACACAGAAGAACTGACTATCATTATACATTTTCTTTGTGAACATGCTTCGCAGTGCTACTTGTCTTCTTTCTTTCTCTTTTTCTGTAAACAATAGTATCGAATGAAAAGCTTCAGCAGAAGGTGGCAGAGACTGAGAAAACCTTTCATATTGCTCAGCAGAAGTGGAAAGAACAACAGCAAAGACTTGCAAGTGAAAAGGATGATATCCGCAGAACTTGCAACAATGAATATGAATTGCTTCTTACGGAAAGAACCAAACTAGAAAGCGTTTTGCAGGTATGATGTATTAATAGTTGGAAAGTTGCATGAGATGATGGCTGGAACTTCTTTGGTGCAAAGTGTGTGATGGGTTGGGTTTTTTTCTGGTTTAGGGGAAAAAAAAATCCACTAAGTAGCTAAATACTGCAGAATATTTCTGAAGAATATAGCTTCATAAAGTTACATTTACTGTGTCACAGTCTTTCTTGCTTTGATGTAATGTGTTGTGACTGATTTTCATGGTAAATACCTAAACCAAGTTACTAGTGCATAGTGGTAGTGAGGCCCATTTGAACTCTTGTGCAAAGCTGAGATGCCCAACACGGAGCTTCTGACTCCATTTCCCTCTTACCTCCCCGAGTCTGACATCTAATAGCCTGTGAACATGAAAATAATTTGTGTAATGTAGAGACTACACACTGTCAGGGAACTCAAACAGTGATGATGGGATTTCCAGCTGTGCATTGTACATTATTCACTTCATGCCACATATAAAAAATGGCTGTTGTTGGAAATTTTGCTGTTTCGTTAGAAAAAAATCATTTAGTACTAAGAGATGGCCTTATAATCTGTTTTGGACTGTGGGTTTTTATTCTTCAGATAATTCATTTCACTGTATTTCATGAAAAAAGTAATTTTCAGAGTTGAATTGCATTGATATGCATAAGTCCCTTAGATGTTAAGTGCGTAAAAAAAAATAATAAAAATATGAACATTTTTACACTTTTTTTGTACAGTCAAGCTATTCAAAACTGAATTCTGTTTCAAAGAAATCTAATAGTATTACGGTGTGGAAGTGCTGAGTTAACATACCCAACTTCTACGTGCTCTGCAGGGACGCAAACAACTACACAAGTATGATTTAATAATTTGAATCTTCTTAATGGACAATTGAATTAACTTATATCTTAGCAATGTAATAAGAGCATCTGAGGGAAATCGAGAATGTATTCAGCTATAGTTATCCTTTATACTTTTAAAGAAGTGTAGTGCAGAGGCTCTGTTAAGGCTGATGACCATTTACTATTATGCATGGTGTATGCAGAGAACAGACTGCTACTAAGAGATTCACTTTCTTTTATTCAGTGAGACTTTTTCTTTTTTTATATTCCTATTTTCTTCTTTTATAACTCACTTTAAGATGTGGCAGACTTTTTCAGTTGGTCTGGGCATTGGTCAAGCAGTAGAAAATTAGGTCAGCTCCAAACCTGGGACAGTGCCAAACAGTCTTCCAAAATGACACAAAACAATCCTTACCTGGCAGCTTGATAGCCAAGTTCTGACAGCAAACCTGCATGTTGTGCTACGTTGTGGTGCTGTTGGTCAGATTCTGTCTGGCACCTGTAGGAGCAGCTCTTAAAAAAACAGGGCAGAGACAATGCATTAATTACATGTGTTCCAAAAATACTATGTACTGACTCTTAGCTGTTTGTTTGAAGGCAAGAACTGGAAAGAAAGGTACAACAATGAGACCTGAAGTAGAAATCCTCTCCCCTTTCCCCAGTAATTTTGTGGATATGTTGAACAGTGCTTTGAAGGAACAGTTAGGAAAACCATAAAAGAATAGTTACACACACACAAAAAAAGAAAGCCAAGGAAAGAGAAGGTTTCAGAGGAAAACATATGAGTTGATTGACAGGTGACACCCTAAGGTCCTTCTCAAACCAACAGAAACATGATTCAGTTTTCATTCAAAGGTGATGCTTAAAAAAGTAGGGTTAGGTATAGGCTATGAAGAAACCTATTTTTTAGATACAGTTTTCTTTTAAGTTGCCAGGTAAAGCAGGCTAAGAGGGGAGTTTTGGCTCGAAGTTCTGGCTAACAGTAGGCTGAGTTAGGTTGAGGAGGCTTTGGAATGGACTTGTCTTTTGTTCTATACAGTATTTTGTAGAAGCCACATTCAGTGAGTTTAATACTGTATAAAAAGAGCAATGTTGGAGAGGTACACTCTCTCAAGTGATGTTTGCCCTCAGATCAAAAGGAGCAGTGGATTGCTTGGGACATTGTGTTCTCTGTCAGTGGATGTCTATTTAGAAGTGAAGGTAAGTGAAGTGAAGAAGTTAAGAGGCAGGTGTTTGGTAAACGTATTAAAGCTAGAAAATTGTTCACTCCTGAGGTAAATATGATTCACTACTAGGTGTCAACCCCTAGCCTGCTTTCAGTAGTAAAAAGCTTCTATTTTCCAACTTTGCTTTTGTAGCTGTTCCCCTGCCTGTTGCCCTGATTATAGGTTTTATGTGTAGTTATAAAATTCCAGCAGATTAAAAATACATAAATAAATGTTAAATATGGACTTTTCCAGCAAATAAAAAAATACATAAATGTTAAATATAGACTTGACAGCCTTAGTTGTTGCTTGAAAGCTTAATTGATTCAAACTTGGCAGATAAATGTCAGAACGATCTGGGTTTATAAATTATGACTTCAAATGTGTTCCAGTCTTTTGCATTGTGTATTTAAACAGTCCTGGTTTAAATACTTTTATAGTTGTTCTAAGTTATGAAATGAAAGCTAGATCAAGTGGATTTAATTTTGGTCTTAATATATATGTAGAAATGAGATTCTAAGCATGTATGAAAATCCTGGTTGGAAAAGCCACACTTCATGAACTGTAATTCTGAATTGGCTATGAAAATGCGGAGGTAGGCATGGAAATGAAGTCAGCTTAACCTATTGAAATGTGTCTCTAAAATATGGAGGCAAAGTAATCCTCTCTGCTTTCTAACAAGTTTGTGATGTGCTCTGTTGGGTGTGCTTAGCATGCTATCCGCTTCATAGTAAAAGGTGTTGGAGTTCAATAAGAAGTGCAATAGCATCACCTTGTGGTTAGTCAGAATATAATATTCCTTCACAGAAGCACTCGGTTTTTCCTTAGACTGCTTGTGAAATAGTGCTGCTTATACACACTTTTTAAAAAAATGTCAGCCATGTTTTTCATAAGCAGATACATATATAGTAAGTGTGTATATGACATGCAGGTATATTTTTTTTTTTTTTTTACATGGTGAAGTATGTTTCTCTTTAAACCTTCTAAGTGCAGGTGACTGCTGGGATAGTCTTGCACAATTTCACACTAGGTCTGAAAAGTTTGGAGACTTTTTTTAAGATTCTGAAATCCTACAACTCATGTTGACTTGTGTAACAAGCTTGATGTATTCATGTCAATTTCAGTCTGATTAATGTTAACTACATTTCCAGTACAAAATGTTTTTAAGTCTTGATGTAGTATTTTGCAGCAAACTATATATTACTTGTTTCACTTTTGTTAATATCTGGAAAATATACCTGAAGAGAGAAATATCTCTGTATCTTTCCAGCATGGAGAGAGTGGGAGTAGTTGTGTATTTCTATAAAAATGGTGAAAATTTTTTTTTAGCATGCTGATGGGAAGAAACCTGTGCATTGGCTCGATATTACAGGCAAAGTTAGGGGATTAGTTTAAGTTTAGTCCATATCCAGGTATACTACTTCTGCAATATTTTGATTTACTGAGTTTTCCATTGTTTTCTTCACATGTATTTCACATGCATGCTCCTTGTTATCTTTTCAGGGGATGCAAAAAAATTGTGCCATAGTGCCTGCACATGAAAGAAGAGAGAAAATAAACTTAATTTTTTCAGTTACTAATTGGCACCACTTAGCACTGTAGAAGAGTCGTGATTCCCTTATTGTCATGTTTGAGTGGCCAAAACTTTTTACCTTCAATATGGAGGAATGTCTAAAAATCGTTCTCCAAACTTTAGAAAAGACTCATATTTCTTTGATCTTCATGTATAAACATGGTTCTGTCAGACTTCAATCTTCCGAAGAATCATTCTGTATGAATAATTCATTTCCTCCTCCTCCTCCTCCCTGCTCTGCAGATGCCTTATGATTAGTAATTTCTAGGAACAAGATTATGTGATGTAAGGGTAATAGCAGAATTTGCAGACTGACTGGTTTATTTTCACAAAATGTCTCTTGCCATGATATTGAATAGGAGTAAAAGAACAGGAGGACTTATTGTAATCTTTCTGTGTTTTGCACAGAAAGTCATTTTAACAAATTGGGTCTCCAAAGGTCCTCCAGCTAAATCACTGGATTTATAGCTTGTTTCTGATGCTAGTTACAGAAAAGCTTATTCCTGTCCACTAGACCAAAGCTGCTATTTTTGAGACTTCTGGGATCTCCAGCTTAAGTATGCTCTAGACTACTGGGGGTTCATTATTTGGCTACTTTCCTCCGAGCCTGGTGTGGTGTGAATGTGGATTTTGTAACAGTGACTCCACAGAGCAGCTGAGTCCTGTAGTGTTAGTAATTATTCCAGCCTGTAGCTTCGTTCAACTTCTGAACGCAGAAATTGAAGTGGGGAACAGCTTGGTTATTTTATTCTACTGAGAACTTCATAGTTCATGTAGATAATTTTTTTACAGTAATTCAGTTTCTAGACAGAAGAAAGTCTTTCTCAGAATAGCAGAAATGAAGATTTAGTCTATGGGAGTAACTATTTCTAAAAATGTCTGATTTGATTTCAAGTTCTTACAATTAGAACCAGAATAAAATAGAACTTCTGTCCCTGTGTATCATTTCGTCAAATGCACTTAACTGTTTCCATCTCCATCGTTGCCACTGAGCTGGGAGAGAGAAGAGCTTGGAAGAGCAGCCTTGTACTCTTCAGAGAGTAAGATTTCCTGTGGGGAATTGGTTCTGATTTTAGTATTACTGCAGAAGGTCATGTCCATAGTGATTTTTTGAACTAACACATTTTACCTGGTGGTGAATGGAAGAGCATGTCTGCTGTTGTGTAAATGGTTCTGTTCACATGTGCTAGCATGTTAAATTTTAATAATGTGTTCTAATGCAGTCTCGATTCACAAAGTATTCCTCTTTTGAACTGTTTACTGTAATACTGTATTTTAGTAAAAGTGTCTCTTAATGCTTTGTTTTTACTAGGAGCAGAATAATGCACTGCAAAATATATGCAAGAAAATGAAAGATGTAGAGGTGGAACACAGTGGCTGTACTGAGCTGCTGAGGCGCCAGGCCAATGAGCTTGAATACAGTGCTGAACGAGAGGAGCGACTTAAAAAAGAACTTGAAGTAAGGCTTTTTCACTACTGCTATTAGTCTCAACAAGCGCTGGCACTCTGAGCAATTTCATTTTAGAGAGATGGAACCTCTCAGTTAGGCTGTGAATTCTGTATACTGGATTAACAAAACATTGAACATCTGTTTGGCAGAAAAGGCTGAACAGGTGAATGCCACTTAGACTGTGTGTCTGACTTGAGACTCGTGTTTAAACAGCAGATGGGAAAAGGTAAGCGTGAAACGAAGGTTAACTTTACTTTAGGAAATCTGTACATTTTCACTGACCTCTTAATTTGTCTATCTTCCTATCTTTTTGGCTTAAGAACAGATTTTGAGAATTAGTGAATTTGCGATGGAGAATCTACTAGAGCTGGGAAAGTCACCAGATGTTGTGCTAGGTAGAGAGAATAGCATACTGGAAGATGACAGTGGTGTTATGGCAGCCTTTTCCTATCTAGAGTTAAATGCTACAGGTAGTTTTAGTTTGCCTGTCTGAATGACACCTGTTGCTGGGAAGTCTCAAGTCTTTAGGACTAGTATCTTTTAAATGTGTTTCTTTGACTAACCTGCTAGTTCTCTCCTAAGTTTCAACGTTTTGTTTGTACACTGATAGGCTTTGCAGTAACTATGTTATCTGTATGTACAGTCTGGACCAGGATTTTCTTGGTAGAACATTTGTCACTGCAGAAGAGCATAGTGAATGGATGATTCTTTATCCTGATGTAAGTTTTCTACCAAAGGCATCTTTAAATGTATTCTGCAACGAATTTCAGAGAATTGGTACTTGCAGGATATTAGGAGCCCTTAAAGGAATAAGTGACGTACAGTTTTCAGCTGTGTCTGTTCTCTGTTATTTTTCCCTTAAAGGCAAAAGAAGTGTTCAAAGCATTGATTGCTAGGTAGGTAGAGCCCTGCATTAAAGATGAAGTACAAAAGAAAATTCCTACAGGGAAGATCAAAGCTCATCAACTAAAAACACTGACTTATTGACCAACATGGTAGACTTTTGTGCCCTCAAAGAGATCTACAGGAAATCTATTGTCAGGTGTTGTGAGCTGCACATATTGCCCTAGGCAGAATTACCTTCAGTTGGAAAGTGCTGTGTACTGTGAAGTTCCAATAGCCCTTTTAAAAACAAAGATTTTTGCTTCCAAGCGCTTGAAGAAGGGCTTTTCTTATGACTTTATGACTTTTAGTATATTAACATAGGAATCATGAGCTGAAAGGAGGAGGAGCAAAGCAGCAAATTATTTCTCTTTCTAAATATTTTGATTGGGTGTACTCTCCATCTGTAAATTTGTAAAGGAAGCACTCAGTTTCTTGAAAATGTATAACTGCTGTGCCCTGGAGATGGTTTTATCAGGGAATGCTATCTATTAACCACAGTCAGCTAAGATCTTTTCATTGCTGCTTAATTTTTATTAAATTCTTTTAACTTACTGAATCTCATAATAACATCGTGAGGAAACAACGTATTCAGACTACAGAAAAATCAGTCTGGTGGTACATGTTTAAGTATAGCTATTTAAGCAGTGATTAAGGAAGGTATGTGATGAAACCTCTGGCATTTGAAAGTTTAAGCAAATAGGCTTAAAGTTCCTGTGAATTAAAAAAAAAAGTCTCAGACTGCAATGTATATGCTTTAGTCAGCTTGCATCTCACTTTACCATCTCAAAAGTAAATTGCATGTGTGTGTCTGAAAGGGCCTACAATAATAACTTACCCATTCTATACTTGAAGTCAAAGAGAGATAAATTAATGAGCATCTCTGAATATACCTTTATTCTTTAAGAAGCAAAAGCACTAGATATTTTAAGCTTTCAATATTGATTACTGTAGACAGTATTGATTACTTAGACTTCATACTGGATAGTGGACTCAAACTCCAGAGTTTGTGACATGAGCATCATGTGCATCTTCCAGGGTACCAGTACTTTGCATCGCTGTTTGTGGAGCGAAATTTGTTCTGCCTTTTCTGTGGTCATGAAAGGCTGCAGGCATTCTGAAGTTTGAAATTCAGGTTAAAATCTATTTTAAGTTGCTCTCTCAGCCATAATCCTCTCCCCAAAAAATTATATACTGAGGAAGTTTAGTATTAACAGAGTTTGAAATCTAATTGCAACCTTTCTTTGATTTATAAATTTGTCATTCCTCTCCCTCTTACCTTCTGGACCTCAATCAGGCAGAGGTATTACCTGTCCTTCACACTGAAACAGAGTGGAAAGACCTCAACCAAAGGGACAAGATAAGCTGGTCTTCACCTCCATAGCTCAGTTATTGGAACTTTGGTCTTGGAGGCTGTGAGAGAAGGAAATGGGGGAGTGTTCAAGGACAGACTTGTTGCATACAGGAAGGGAAATGAGCACAATCTTCCCTTCTAGTTGTGTCTGAAAGAAAGGACTATGCCCTTTTAAAACAGCATGCTGCATTCCCAAGTAGAAGAAAGTGCTTCTGTGAAGGCTGGAGATTGTTGGGTTTTAATCACATTGCTGTCAGTAGAATTTCCTCCTTTCAGCCTTAACAGCTGCCTCACTAGCATGCTAGCTTCTGTGGATCACATTCTTAGTTGCCAAATTCTTCCCATACATTGTGGGAGAGGCATTAAAGAAGGGCACTAAAGCCTGGGCAGTAGTTGTCACTGTGTGCCAAGATGCCAAAGTCTGCTTGTGTTTCTGCCCATCTGGTATTACTCTCACATAGTTCTGTGGTGTTCTAGCTGTCAATTTAGAACTCCTCAATGTATGGGAATAAGTATTACCCACGTTAGAAATACGGATAAAGTCCTAATACCCAGTTCCGCACTTCCAGCTGTGGTTAAATACAACTCTTACTTCTGCCTGTGATGTTGGTATTTGAGATGGATTTAGATAGAGAAGCCTTGAAGTAGTACACCTCAGACAGAATGGTCTACATTCTTTCATGAAATAGCTCTATATTTCTTTATCTCTCTTCATGGAATTTTTAGCTTATAGATTGAAATTTGTTTTTTTGGGAAGATGGACGCAGGAGACATGTCTTATTTCAATTTCCATGTAGACTACACTGTGTTAATGGGCGTTTGGTTAGAAAATGTGTACTTAAGTTCTTGATGATAGCAGCGAACTTCTTAAGATGATTTGTGTGAAGAGTAGTGTAATTCTAATTAAAAGGCAATCTTACACTCTTTTGTTATACACTACTTCTTGATATGCAATGAGGATGAACTTTTTTTGGAGTTCACAAAGCTGTTCCTTTACTACCCTCTGCTGGACATAAGGGAAAAGTCCATGGGAAAATATTTGTGTTTCAGTAATGAAAGGAAATGATAAATTTAGAATATTCTTGTATGATGACACTCTTAGGAAGAATTATATCTAATAGACTATATTATAAAGAAAGGAAGGTGAAAAAAGTGTGCCCCTCCCCACAGGTTTGTTTTTTTTTTTTAATATCTGGTTTTATCCTTCAATCATTATTCTGAATGTGGTCTAAAAGAGGACATTTCTAGTTTCTGGAATTAGAAATGAAGAGAAAGAATAACGGCAAGTTTCTGTGGACTTTTCAGTTGAAAGCTAGCTGTTTGTACAGTGTCTGACCTGCTAGCTTTCCAGTTTGCAGTGATGTTGTGTATCATGGCATGAACATGGAGTCCTTCTGAAGTGGAACACATACTGTACCAGAAAAATTTGGATTGGGAACCTTATTATCATTCTGCCTCTTTAGCCTAAGGTTCAGTAGTCAAACAAATTCTTGATGTATTTGTATTGAACTCATCAGGATACTACTATTTATGATAATCAGTTTCCTGGAAACAGTGTCTTTTATTTTAGCCTTTAGCTCCATTGCTCTGGAAAGATGATTTCTTGGGAAATATAGAGCAATTTGTATATAAAAATAGTGTTTCTTGTATGTGTCTAGCTGCCAAAAAGCTGGGTGGGAAAGCTGTTTAACAAAAAGTGGAGGAAAGGGCAATGTGGATTTTACCATGAGAAACAGAATTATTAGTTCATAAATTTCAAACTCTTTGTCTTGTTCACAGAAACGTAGTGATTTTCTATTGTTTGTTTTATGTGTTTGAGGCTGCCGTCACTTAGTAAGCTGGAGCTCAAGGTCTCTCAAAGTTTTTAAGGCTTTCTCATGAGGCCTGAAAAATGTCCCATAACTTGGTCCATTTTATTTTTGAGGCTGAGTATGTTGCCATATTTCTGAGACTGAGTTACCATTTAAAGACAATTCCTGTAGCTTTCATGTTGCCTTTCCTGTTCCCCTGCCTGTGAGTATACTGACCTTTTCATGTCCTGGTAAATGTGTCGTCTTGTATTAGCTTGCTAATGCTTCTGTGATGGGGAGATGACTGCAAAGAAGACTTGAGTGATGGTCTGCCTCTGTATTTGCAAAAGGTATATGTACATGCAATAGTTTAAGGCTGTGGGTGTATTAAATTTCTTACTGTATCCAAGTCAGTGAAACAAGAAATTTAGATCACAGCTAAAAACAAAACAAAAGCCCACAAACCTGCTTTTTTTTTTTCTTTGTTGTTATTAATTTCACCATGAGCTGCAGTGTTAGGTGCGTTATAGTTCTCATCAGAAAACCTTGAAAAAGCTCCAAGCAGTGTGAGAGAGGGCACATTCCTCAGCAGGTTAACAGTGCTACTGGTTAAGCTTTAAACTACTTTTTGTTGTCTGTGACTACACACTTCTTGATGGCTTTCCCCTACTTAATCATCTGCTTTCTAGTGTCTCCACAATGCACAACTGGCATCTAGGAATTCTAGTTACTGTGACTGTCTTGTATGTCCTCCAAGCACTGAAGTTTTCATAATGGTATCTCTGTGGTGGCTCCAAAGTTCATGTTTCTCCAGTGACAAGCTCACTGACATAATGGACTTACTCTCTGAGAGGAGCTTCCTCTTTATCATTTCCTATGTCATCATATTCTTCAAGTCCAGTTTGAACACTGTTCGCTCTTACCGCACTATCAGACTGAAGTTGTTTGCTTTCTGTCTTATGTAGCCCTCACCAGGAGTTAGT